GGAATGATATTTTGTGATTGGTCAGACTAATTATTTCCACGCGACTTGTGAACAGACTAGCTCACATGATGCAACAAGTCGCGGCAACGGGTTTTGTCCCTGCGACACGTCGCATGAAATCAAATAATTTGATTTCATGCGACATGTCGCAGGGACAATTTTTTGTCTCCGCGACAACGCTTACACATGTGACACAAGATGAAATTCGACCCCGCGACATGTCCCTGCGACTTGTCGCTCCGTGTGACCAAACCTTTGTATCTTGTCAAAATCCACAACTATCACATCTTGTCAAAATCCACAACTACTCCACTGACATCAGATAATTGCAACTGTAATAACCAGAGTGAATGCCGTATTAAGAAGAAGTGTACATCTAAAAACATTATTTACAAGGCCCAAATTACATCACCCAACGACGGTGTCATAAAAGAGTATATAGGAATGATGGCGACTACTTTCAAAGAAAGATATGGAAATCATAAGAAATCCTTCAAACTTCAAAGATATAAAAACGATACAGAGCTGTCAAAGTACATCTGGGGGCTAAAGAGTAATAATAGAGATTACACCCTAAAATGGTCAATTCTGAAGCGGGCAGGCGCATACTCATCTGGTGCAAAGTGTTGCAATCTCTGCGTAGAAGAAAAACTCTGCATAATGAATGCAAACATGTAACATTGAACAAAAGACCCGAGATATTCGCAACAATTCTGAAGCGGGCAGGCGCATACTCATCTGGTGCAAAGTGTTGCAATCTCTGCGTAGAAGAAAAACTCTGCATAATGATTGGGCAAACATGTAACATTGAACAAAAGACCCGAGATATTCGCAAACAAACATGTAACATTGAACAAAAGACCCGAGATATTCCGCAAACAAACATGTAACATTGAACAAAAGACCCGAGATATTCACAAACAAACATGTAACATTGAACAAAAGACCTGCGATATTTGGGAAATTTTGAACGCGGCTGGGGAAATTTTGAACGCGGCTGTCGCATTGCCGCCAAATTACGTGACATCGTTACATCATTATGGAAGTCTTGTGTAGAATACTACTGGAAGTTTGACTGCAAAGGAATGTTAAGATTTGGATCAAGATGTGATAAATCACACCAAGTGTTCATATAAGCCATGGCAAGAAATATTGGACATGTTCGAAATTCTAGTACCCAGATGGTAAAATTCTTTGTGTGTGCAGCAAAATGGCCACTATCTTGTTTTACCAAGAGTTGGATAATCTTACGACTGCTGATTTTTACTCTGTTTCCAACTAAAAGAAAAAGCTTGAATACAGGGGAAATTGTTTCGCCGTAGATCATTTAATTGCCCAGAGAAGCGAGCAAGGCGTAAGTTCGAATATAATTTTAGTAATTTGACGTTTGTCGGTTTTTAATTTTGCTGTGTGAACTATATTTTGGCCATGGACATAAGTTGATAAGAATTTGTATGCCCATTTTTTTTAATTTAGAACCAGAATACCTTGTTTTATGGCACGGCTATTCGCAATACGACGCCTCCTATGAACCTGCAAGCAATATTACAAGACTTTGCATCAGGTGCCATACTGCAATACAGTGTTTATTAAAAGGTACATTGACTGAAATCATTCACTCCACTCATTCATCACCTCAATACTAGAATATAGTAGCTAGCCATACTAAATATTGTTTTATTTTCATAGATACTACCATAATCCGCAACCGAATGCAAAGGATATTCATGAATTTGCTGATTTATTTTGAGACAAAATTGAGCAGGCTTTTGAACACAACAGGAGGAAGGAAAGATTGACCTTCGAATGCAGAGGAGATGTTTTTAAGTTCTTGTTCGCAGGTAAAGGTTATTTTTTGGACATTGGCAAATTTTGGAAGAAAATGACTTTCTGCAACAGTTATTTCAAAAAGGATGGACTGTTAGGATGAATAAACATGGGGAGGGAATGAAGTTACATTTTCCAGTCAAGATATGTTGGTCTATTTCCTGGTCGCCACTTAAATACAATGTTGACACAAAAGGTACCACAGTTCCTTGTAAAAGAGCCCCTTTTGAAAAAATGTTAGTTGATGTAATGAAGGTCAATCAAAGTAACTGCTTGATATGGATAAATTACTAATATAGGACTTGTGTAAAACACTTATTTATACTATATTGAATTATCTGTGCCAGTGTAGGTATGCAATTACCTGAACAATATAAGGAGAATTTCAATGTTTCGAGCGAAAGCCGTTCATCTGGAGTTGCTGGAGTCAGTAACTCCAGACAAAGGGCTTTCGCTCGAAAAATTGAAATTCTCCTTATATTTTTCAGGTAGTTGCATCCCTACCAACGAAAGCTTGTTATTTATATTATACCCTATCAGGCCTGGTCAGGGGTTTTAATAGGTATTGAGGCCCATTTACACTTGCAACTTTCACTGCGATTTTCTACACTCAGCGTGTGCGATAGCATGTGTTTATACAAGCAAGAGCAGAATACTGTATAACCAATGTTACATTCCTAGTAAGTGTACTCTATCGCATACACCAAAAAGGAAAAATGCAGGCAACATGTTAGTGACAGTTGCATGTGTACCTGGGCTGTTGTGTTTGGATGTCTTTAGTATTCATCATAAATATTATACAATACAGTACAATAAACTTATTTAATGAGGGTAACACCAATTACAAACATAGTGGCCTTCAATTAGCCTTTCTCACAATGCCATTTTTTGGGTGGCATTTCAGCCAAAGTCTGCGAGATAAGTCCACATAACAGCGGCTTTTTATAATTTTTTTGATGAATGATGGTAAATTTGCTTTGTAAATGGTTACTTTATTTAGAAAAATTGCTTTTCACATTGTTTAAAATTGTCTGCATTGGTTAACAAGAATTGGATGCCACCCAAAAATGGCAGATATTTGTCATAGTGAGAAAGGCTAATTATACAGTATGTTAGGGACCAAAATTCCAGGTATCATAATTATCAGAATCCTAGTAACCCCTTGCCAGGGATGATACTTGCTACTCCAAGTGATCAGACCTCACTGAACAAGAAGAAAAATTCATCCTCACCACACATAATTGTTAAGTGGATGCCTGGCTTTCAGTTATTATATGATTGATGCTAAACTGTTTATTTAGCTCTGACCTGAGTGAGGTTTTTGGGTGAGATTCAGAGGTTTACAACTTTACATGTACTTGTTCATTGTGGTTTGTTTACTATATTTAGTACCTAATATCCACATAAAAGTGTGCATGCAATCATATTTCTATTAACTATGATGCAATTAAACGCTCATTTTCGTTTTGTCTTTGAGTTGTTGTTTTTCTTTTTTTGTTTTCTGGGCTTCTTATTCTTCTTGCTATATAGTTCGCTTTTCAGGTTGGGTTTCACTTGAACCACCACATTGCTGACAGAATCCTGTTTTCTATTCCTGCAGCTTTCTCTCTTCTCTGCCATCCAGTAATCATTGTCGTATTTAGCATATTGCCATTTAGGTTGTTCTCTGTGACAAAGGGTCGACTGCCTGAGTTCCATGTGCAGAACGTTCTACTCATTCATCTACTTCATCCACATGCATCAGAAGAACAAAATCGCACTAGAAATCGCAGCAAAAATTGCAAGTATAAACGGGCCTTAAGAGACCATTATTTTTAATACTGGAGATAATCATTCTTTTCACGAATTTGATATTTAGTTATGCTATTAACTCCTTTCTGACCGGCCCTGTGAAAACTATTGCAGAACTGAAATAGTATTTTGGAGGTTCATATCTTCGGTTCAGTACATGCTATGTAGATGAAAATACCACCATTCGATTCAGCAAAATAATATCTCCTGATTCCTAATCATAGTTTTAGTCAAAGACAAACATATTGATTTATGACCTTTGAAGGGTCAAGAGGTATCACATTTCAACAAATTACATATTTGTTCGAAAAATGTAAACAATGTATCACTAAAGCCATACGTTTTGCCAGACACAACTTCGGCCCCTTCGAACATATTCTTTTCGTTGTAGTCTTGTTCGATTCACAATCAAAAACACTATTTACAGTGTTATTTTGAAGCTTGTATCCTCAGTTTTTCGTCTTTTATTTCGATATTTCAATCTGTTGCGATATTAGTGAAGTCAGCGGGAAATTTTTTGACCGGAAATGCGATTTAGATTAGCCAAAACATTGCGTGTTTACATCCTAGTGCTCGGGAAACATAGGAAATTGATTCTAATGGTCAAATTACATCTGCAGCATGATTTGCACATGCATCGGGCTACAGGTACTTCTTATTTGCCAATTTTAGCATATGGCGGGCGCGTGCGAGTAAAAACCCAAAATAAACATTTGTACTGGCTGTATTCAAATGAAATTCTTGGATATAAAAGCGCTTGAATATGACAAATATTTCACTCATATTGATTTGTGGCGAACTCTGAAGAATTCACAAGTTATTCATGCTATTGTGGAAACAAAATTCCGAATGTTTGGCCAAGCGGTGAGTAAATATATGATTGTTTCGGTTTGTTTACTATATATATAGTACCAGACTATGCCTATGGTAATCATTTATAATCAAAGCACTTTTACCACCAAAATCAACGCGTTTATTTTAAAAACACAGCTGAAACACACAGTAGAGTAGTAGCGCTAAATTTTTACGCAGTTATACAAAAAAATTTGGAGTTTATCCACATTTTTTGGTCAAAATCTTCGTAGAATGTGTTCGCACGCATACTATTTTATATTGACAATATTTGTTTCCCCTGCTCTTGACGTCACAAATTTATTCTCACATAAATTAGCATACCAGGTTTTTTTCAAGATGGCAGACGACTGTAAAAAGTTTTATGATATTTCTGAACAACTAAATGCGATAGACAAGTGAAAATACACAATTAAGTATTCCATAGGTATGTTTAATAGATATCGAGAATAAAAAAATTTATTGTCATTGTCCTTTAAGTAAAAAGTACAAAGTATCCTTAAAATAATACTAGAAGTACAAAGTAAAAGTAAAAGTACTATTGTCTGTAGCGTGTAGGGAGGGGACTTCTCCATTGATGGATCGAGATACAAAAACACACAAAACAGCACACATAATAAATATGCAATATTCACTGCACTTTCCAGAACCTGTTGAAGATACAAGAAATGCATTAAATAAATAATACTTATAAGTAAGCCACAAACGAGAGATCCCAGGTCCTATTACCTATCCCAAAATTAAAGTAAATCACGTAAAATTAAACAAAAGTTAGAAAGTAACAAAATACTTCCCCACAAAATGAAAATAACGAACTAAAATGTTACTTCTTAAGAGCGACTGTCTACAAAAATCAAACAAAATGAGAAATATGTGGCAAGGCTCAAAATTTTAAATTCGCTCTACTTTTGAATTTAAGTTGACTATGGTGAAGTGTGAAACGTTATGTGGTTAGTTTTTAAAAATACTCTTTTGTTTACGAAAAAAAGGCAAAAAAATGTTTCAGCTGTGAGGATCGATTTTCGCCATCGAAAAATGGCCGAAATTGCGTATGTTTACTTAATCCTGGTATCCAAACCCTAAATCCAAACAGCCTTATTATACTTTCTGCTAAAGGTACATCACTCCCTTGTTTATTAATAGTGGTTTTATGATAATTGAACAACTGAACACATTTGTGCACAATAAAGAGCGACAGGTACTGATCTTTATTGTTTGTCATTTGGCCATCCTTTCAAATCTTATGCTGGATTTTGCACAAGCACTATTGGGAAACTGCCCTTTTCAGAAATGTATTATTTATTTTGGGCAAATAAATTCACACACTTCAAGAAAGAGTTAACTTTGGTTCATTAAATATGCAAAAATCACTGTTTGGCAATTGCGTGACTAAAAACCCCTTGAAATAAACTCACTTAAAACATCATTGTTCTTCACCTTTAGTTTAGAGAATTTGAAGAAAACATATACGTACCTTGAAAGCGAAAAGTTCGTTTGAGCTGTTCCACTCTTTTGGAGTTATCCCTAACTTAACTACATAAACTCAAAGTTCAAGGAGTCCAGCTAACAGAAATCAGCACAATTACACAACTGCCATTCATATTCCATTGACAATTGTTATAGTTAAGCCAATAAAATCAAAAAATAAGCCATGCAGAAAAGAGTCAAGATTAATATTGCAGACATTCTATTTTATTCATATACTGTACTGAGATATCGAAAAAAGTATTTACATTTATAATTAGATTGATGTCTCTGCGGTCAAATGAATAATCCGTGCCCACTATTGGACCAAAATAGGAGCGTCTAGAGAGTGCCATTTCCTTCAAAACCACTCTGATCAGTCGTCAGTTCAAATACTAATATGCTGACTTTTCATGGAAGTTTAACTGTTATGGTGTGCTCGTGACGGATATTAATTAATAATGATAACAATAGCATAGAGGCGCGCGGTCGCATTTTTTCGACAATAATCCACTTAATATAAAAAACAATATTAAAAATAATGCATCGCAGTGGCATTACTTTCGCCAAATTGACAGGAAGCCCGCCACCTATAATGTAAACATTTGGTGACAAATAGCTTTTTCAATATGTCAGTATAAAAATAAAATAGAATTTCTGCAATATTAACTTTGACTGCTTGTTTCTAAGAATATTAACCTCAATTCGCAATAATCCACTTAATAGAAGAAAAAAATATTAAAAAAGAAATGAAAACATTACAGTAATATATCACAGTGGCATTACTTCTGCCAAATCGCCCGCCATCTATAATGTAAACATTTAGCTTTTTCGACATGTCAGTATAAAAATAAAATAGAATTTCTGCAACGTTAATTTTGACTCTTTGTTTCTAAGATAATTGTAAATGGAACACGGATGGAAGTTGTGTGAATTGTTAGTTGATTTCTGATAGATTAGATTCCAAGAACTTTGAGTCGATGTGTAAGGCGGCAATAGTGCTTGTGCAAAATCTCATAAGATTTGAAAGGATGGCAAAAGGAGAAATCTGTCACTTGTTACATGCAATGACAAACAATAAAGATCAGTACCCGTCGCTCTTTATTGTGCACAAATGTGTTCAGTTGTTCAATTATCATAAAACCACTATTAATAAACGAGAGGGAGTGATGTAGAATACAAGTCGTTTCGCCCCCAAGTCGATTTGCCCCAAGTCGTTTCACCCCAAGTCATTTTGCCCCAGTGGCTAAGTCGATTCGTCTCAACGTTTCGTTGCCAAACAACTTCAAATGATGGATATATTAAAAATATAGTCAAGAATACACAGACATATAAATGTTGTCATTGTCACTGAGTAACTATTTGCAAGCTACCGTTACGATTGCGATTTTTTTCATGAATGTTTACGTTTCAAACATTTTATATTGTCCGTTTCATTCCATACATATTTTGAAAGATGAGTATAATACCGGGATTGAGCCATTTTTCTATTTATAATTTGATATTCTTTCATTTTGAAAGAATATTGTTTAGTTCGTCCATTGTAAAAACTAATCACTGCATTGTTACCGACTTTGTCAAACCTTTTCGCACTTTTGTTTTCATTTGAAATGTTACGTAGTGAATAGGTTTTCACGCGTTTGCCGTTTGATCCATATCTCCACAATACTCGCAAATATGGGTGAGTTTGTTTGTTTGTAAGAGATATTAAATTCACTAGCTAACTTGGGGCGAAACAACTTGGGGCGAAACAACTTGGGGCGAAACGACTTGGGGGCGAAACGACTGGGAGCAAAACGACCGGTTACCGTGATGTACCTTTAGCAGAAAGTATAATAAGGGCTATTTGGATTTAGGGTTTGGATACCAGGATTAAGTAAACACACAATTTCGGTCATTTTTCGATTGCAAAAATCGGTCCTCACAGCTGAAACATTTTTTTGTCTTTTTTTCATAAACAAAAGAGTATTTTTAAAAACTAACCATACAACATTTCATACTTTGTCATAATTCCAAAGTAGAGCGAATTTTAAATTTTGAGCCTTGCCGTGGTATGTTTGATTTTTGTAGAGACTCGCTCTTAAAACGACTTTGTTCCAAGTCCCAGAAAAAGTTTACTTTGTTACATGATGACTTCTCAAAAATAGTACTCAAGTACAGTAACAAAGTAGATTTACTTTGTTACTTGACACCACTGCTCAAAACACGGTACCAATTCATTAAGAAATTGTGAAACAAACAAATTACTCACAAAATTATTTGCCCCCAGTTAGTTGCAAATTTTTCCTGCGACATTTTGATTGGATACTAAATGTAAACTTTGCTGTGGGTGGAAAGCAATCGGATTAAGGTTTGTATGAGGCTATATTTCTAAAATAGAGTCTGATCTCACATATTTGTAGACTTTGGTTATATCAACAGACCGTCGTGACGTATTTCATATCTTTCTCAATATTCAGTAAATCATTCTAAAAGTAAACGAGCAGGGGAGCCACCCAACGGTAAAATGATGTAATCAAAGACTGTTCAGGTTGCAGACATGTCAAACTATAATCGGTTCCAATCGAGACACTTTCATAAATACTACTGTGCTACATTGCAATATATGGCTAGGAACATACGCTCGTTTTTTTTTTAAAGTATATTGTAGACATAGTATTCCACTCATTTTTTGTTTCGTACCCCCCACAAATGTCGTAATTCGTCTCATACCCCCCCAAAGGTTAGATAATTAGTTTCATACCCCCCAATTTACCCTCCACCACCCAGTACACATATTTTATGACCGGTCCCTAATGGTTAATCTCATGCAGGTGGTTGGCTTTAATTTTCACTGCCTACAAGTAGATGGATATCAACAAGTAGAATGTGACTAAGGGGAGTTATGAATAGAAGACTATAAACAGACCTAAATTATTTGAAGGGGTAATGACAACTGTCACAAATCAACACATCTACAGACTGTAGGTATGTTGGGTGTATAGAGGGTGCCCATGGCCAAGGGGGTGGCAAAACATTGAAGATCTGAAGTACCGTGAAACACGTATAATTTGTGAATTCAACAGATAACACATGTAGCTAAAAATATGGGTAGATGAATTCAACAAGCCTTATATTCCTTAGATGAATTCAACAACCCACTTATAAATATAATACGAAGTAACTGTCTATAATGACTATACTAGTCATCGCTTAGAATATATTAATAAATTAAGTTATTTAAGTATAGACTCATGGAAAAGCGGCAGTTCACTCACACCGTTTGGCTGAACATTTGAAACAACCTATACTTTCATTAACAACTTTTTCCTTATATGGGTTTGATAGCGCCAATAGCGCTTTCAAATTGGCATTACATTTAGACAATACCCTAATAAATGGATCGATGCTTTTTAATGATCTGTCGAATATTAGGCCTGCAGGGATTATACTTTATACTAAGTACACAATGATTTCCAACAGAATTTAAAAACTTCTGTGCATGCTTTGTCTCAAATTAGAAACCTCGTTAAATTTCTCCAAAACATGCTCTTTATTATGCCCACAGTTAATTAAATATACACACACATATATACATATACATATATTACACAGTATGGTATTTAATCAAAATTTATAGCATTGCAAAGCACATACCATCAACTTTAATTTATTTGCCAGTTTCTCTTTGAACGATACCTGGGCTCCAGGGTAACTGCCAGGAGTTGGTGAGATCACACAATTGCTGTTAATCTTGAGTCTGCATTCCTTAACCACATAGGATCTTGGCAAATCTTGAAATACCATTGAAATTTCATGCACAAATTTGTCACTTACTCCAAACTTATCTACCAAAAACAGAAGGATTTCCACTTTGGTGTTTTCATTGGTGTTCAACTGTTCATAGTGCTTTGCACACCCTATTAGAATTAGTCAAAATACTATTGATTGTGACATTTTTGACTGCCCAACATCTTGGGTCGATTCTATAATAAGTGCATGCTTGCAATATACATTTACTAACAATCGTACCAACTTATATATATGATGATGTTTCCTTACTGTGGCACATAAATACATGCATAGCAGCAATAAACATCGCTTGTGTACTATTGTTGCATGAGTTAAGATTGAAATTATCTGTATTTCTAGTCTACAAGATGGCTAATAAACTGGACGACTGTCCTTACCTTGTGATTTTTCCAGTATTGGTTTATCCATTTAAAACTCCTCCTGTGATCACAGACACTTTGATAGTGTAAACCGGGTTTAGTCTGATGATGATTTTATAAAGTCCAAACACTGTGATATTTTGGCTACCTCTTTCGGAAATGAAATTCAATAGCCTAATCAACACACACGCGAGTGAATAACTTTTGACAATAATTTCCATAATTTTAGACAATACTGTTGAAGTCATTAAAATTCCTTCAAAACTGTTTTTATTTATTTTGATGCCCTTTAGAGTTTTGTGAAAAGCATGAGCATTTTCTATACAGCCATCAGAAACCTGATGGCGAATAGAGGCGAAATAACCAGAACGCGTTCTGCAGATGCGTTCCGGGAACAGTGGAATGCAAACGGAACGCATTTAGGAACGTGTTCCTGACGCGTTTGGGACGCGTTCCGAACGTGTTTTCTGTTAGGTTATTTCTGAGCAGTACTGTATGATTATTCAATATTTCCAAGTAGCTTTGGTGCCTTTTCAGTTTCAATGTTTCCCAGTCAATTAATGTCTTATTCTTTATTGATAAGTTACAAAGGACCTCACCTCTATATCCTTGTTCGTTGATATAAACACGCTTGTTTCTTACGTTTTCTTCATCAATTAAAACAGTAACGTCATTGCCTTCCAACATGTTTGTAGACATAGCCTTTTCAAATAGTAAATAGTTAAATATTAGCGCCTATATTTGCCTGGGAAAGCCAAGTGAAGGTTTATCTGAGGGACTGAGTGTTATTGACATCCTGGCCGATGTGATTCTCATACTTCAGAACAATAAACGCTTTAATAAATTGTTCTAATTTTTATTTAGCCAATCAGGATGCAACTTGCGCACAATAAACAAAATTAGATCACTCAAGATGTCTACAATGGCAAAAAAGCCGATATTGGCACCGAATATTACCACAATTGCGAGAAAAAAATACCCAAAAATGTTTGAAACCATGGCAACAAGCCAAGGCTTGGTTGCTTAGCAAAGATGGGCAATGAAAATCATCTTCAGTTCTTTCTCGAAGGTTTTTCGATGGAAAATGGCTGATTTTGATAAAATATAAGCAAAAACATGTCCAAATAAATCTATAATTAAGATTTTTTTTATTTGGAGACATTTCATAGATGCCAAGTCTCACACATATTAAGCGTGTGACACACGCCTCAGCATCATTTCTCACGCTTCAGTTTGATTATCTCACACATAAGCAGAAAGTTAGCTGAGAAACTAAAATGTAGAGAAATAATGCTGATAGTAAAATGTTTGAACTAATTTCTTTTGGTATATGAAAGCTATCATTAAACATCAGACTGTGAAACTTGTGTTTCCTTGTGTATTTAATAATGTTATCAACTGTCGGACATTGCAATCAACACACTACTTCAGGATGTAACCTGAGCACATTTGTTAATCGCTATTGCATCAAGCTATCAATTATAACGCTCAAGGTTTGATCATGGTTAACATGTTTTCACATGCATTATTACTAGTTAAACATTGCGCCTTAACACAAAATGTACCTCTAAAATCTTGTTTGTGAGAACCAAAAATAACTCCCAAATATATTCTCAGAACGCTTGAAATGCTGTTTCCGAGACCCAAATTTCAAAAAATGTTTCGGGGGGGGGGTGGTGGCCTCGGACTCCTACGGTTGCTGCAGTGTGTTCATCTCACACGTGGACAAATCACGACCTTCGCATCTGTGACATTTATTGAACAACTTTCTGTTTTGTTGTGTCAGGCTTTCCACAATGAAGATTTTGCGAGACCTTGAGTCTCTAAGTCGATGACTAATTGAGATATCTTGGTCTTGAACTGCAATTTGCTCCCCTATTTTCTTCATTAACTCATCCGTATCTTGCTCTTGTCAATACAGGAATTCCTCGGATTTGCAAACAATCTCGTCTAGAGTATTGCTCCATGTTGTTTATCTCCTGCTTTAGGAGTTCACTGTCATTTGCTGAACTATGCAGTTCTTGTTTGAGACACTTATTTTCTTTAAGTTTTCGGACTGTATTATTTACGCTTGAAGAATTAGAAAGAAGTTCATAGTATTTGCCGCTTAGAAAGTTTATTGATTCTTCGATTTTATCAATTTTATCAATCTTGGATTTTACGTCCTAAGGTTTTTAGAACTGGATTTAGCTTGTTGTCCAGAAGATTTCTGATTAGTTTTGTCAGTGCCTTTTCATCCATAATAATTACACAAATATACTTTGTCAAACCTTTCAATTTGTTAAAAGTAAATCAAATACTCTTTCCTGTCACTTAATGACAGGTGGTTTTCACATTACATTAGGAGTCAATATTTCTAATGTAAATATCTCGGCGAGCATTTAGCCCCCTTTAAAACAAAACCCACCAGTGAAATCCCCACAAAATAAACCTTTTGAACGGGGATCAAGTGCCGTCAAGACATTACACAAACCGAAACAATCAGTTTATACTCACCGCTTGGCCAAACATTCTGTATCGGATATTGAGAAAAAGTTGAATATTTTCTAAACTTTTTGTCATTTTCTAAAAGGCTATATGACTAAAACACTCTTTGTATTCAAGCGTTTTTTGTAGAAAGTTTCGTATGAATATGGGGAGTAGAAATATTTATTTTTAATTTTTCAAGATAACGGGTTTTTACTCGCACACATGTGTATTGCACAATACTTGGCCAATGAGGAGCTCCTTTAGCCGGGATGACGTCAAACGCATGCATGTAGGTGCATGTTGACCTGTAGAATCCATTTCTGGCATTTGCAGAGTCATACGATACAAAATGTTGCATTGTTTTGATGATTTTTAGTCTTATTTCCGCTTGGGATTATCGCAAATTCGGACCAGAAATGTAAAATTTGGCACTAAAAGTCACACTTTAAAGATAGAAGCTTGAAAATAACACTGTACATCAAGAATATCACAATGAGCATATGTGTGAAGGGGCCGAAGTTATGTTCGGCGAAAGGTATGTTTATTTTATAATTTGTTATTAATAATTGCATAATTTGATCATATACGAGCTTCCTTGACTTTCAAAGCTCATAAATCGCTATAATGTTGCCATTGACTAAAACTGTAGCTAGAAATGGGGAGATATTGTTACACTGAATCGAATGGTGGTATTTTTGTCCAGATAGCATTCAATGAACCGAAGATATGAAATGTCAAAGACGAGAAAGAGTTAAATTAAGTGAAATTTACTGAGATATAGGAAAAAGATTGAGGAAAAAGATAATGGATAGCCTTGGACAAAACGGACCAGAGCAGAGAGCATCCATAGGGTTTCGCCACAACGTTTTTATTTGATGGCCTAGGGAAAGCTGCTGAAGAAAAACATTGGCCATTGTTTGAGGCTAAAGAATTTGCACGATGCAAGCTCCCTGACAACTGGGTATACTGGATTATGGGACCTATTAAGATGAGAATTACATCAAATAAGGAGAACAATTTGTTGAGGTACATCTACATATGTAGATAATAATAATAATAATAACAACTTTATTTATAACAGACAGCCTACATCACTACTCAAGTGCTTTTCAGCAGGGCTCTGTATATTACATTCCGTATATTATTATATAAAAAAGTTAAGAGTTCTATTCTATATAGAAAAAAGTAGACTATATTAAAAGTTAAGTTCGTTCTATATTGATTTAAAAATTTTAAAAACAGCACGTTTAAAATTAGATAAACAAGACGAATTTCTAATATTTTGATCTAAAAGGTTCCAGTCCGCAATGAAATCACAGTTTGATCTAAGTAGACCTTTACAAGTACTGGATTTCATTGGCCGTAAATCGTTTTTATGTCTTGTATTGTAACCATGAACATCTGCATTTCGGATGAATGTATTATCAATATCATTTATCCCATTTATTGACTTATATACATAGAGGCATCTACGTATACTTCGCCTTTGCTTCAAGGTAGACCAGTGTAATATTCTTAGGGCATCACTAGAAGAGGAAAGCATTGGTCTATCCAGTACCAACTTTGCTGCCTTGTTGTGCAATACTTGTAAACTATCCATCATAATCTTGTTTTTCTTATCTCCCCATACCAGGCTACCATAATCCAGTAATGACGTGATCATTGTATTGACAAATATTATCCGTGCATGCTTAGGTAGCAGGTGCTTTATTCTGCGTAGGATGCCGAGGAATAGATGTATAGGATGTAGAGAAATTGTCCATAATTTTTATTAAACTTGCATCATGTATTGATTAAATCATTCTCAGCTTGATTACTTAGGGGTTAAATACAAGTGGTGAGAGCACTGCATCAGAATCGCGAAGGCGTAGGTTCGATTCCTACTGGAGGAGCTAAGTTGTATTTTTTTGCAATGTTCCCTGTTAGGTCTAAAAAATTGTATATATAACCGTCAACCTTGTCATATACCAACCTCCTCAGAATACAACTTGTTACATGATGTTTTCTGTGTTGGTGTTGTGTACTCAGGTGAATATGATATTGGTGATGTTACTGACCGCGTAGCTCAGTTGGAAGAGCATTGGGCTAGTATTCCAAAGGTCGTAGGTTCGAATCCCACCGTGGCCGGGCATATTTTTCAAGCTCGCCCGGTGTGGATATACACTCAAAGTAACATCACAAATATCATATTCACCTGAGTACAGAACACCAACACAGAAAACATCATATTACTAGATTACATTGGTATCGAAGGAACTAGATTCTGTTCCGAAATATCACTTACTCGAACCGTCATCTCCGCGTAGCTCAGTTGGAAGAGCATTGGGCTAGTATTCCAAAGGTCGTAGGTTCGAATCCCACCGTGGCCGGGCATATTTTTCAAGCTCGCCCGGTGTGGATATACACTCAGAGTAACACCACAAATATCATATTCACCTGAGTACAATGCACAAAAGACTTAATGACAAGTAGTAATAATGTAGCTTTCGTATACCCAGCTCAAGCTTTTCTCAATGAGCAGAACAGTTCAACCCATGCCTTTCCCTTCTCAAATATTTCATCAGCAGCTTCAGGACCTAATTTAAAATCGGTTATAAGATGGTAATAATCATTAAATGATGTCTATAATTTACAGACAGTTGCACAGAAATTCCTGGAATTTAGCAGTTCATTTATCCAGAAATTTCTTTTTCTGACCTCCACAACTTTGGTACGAGAACCATCTGCTTTTTTGTACCAAATGAATAGAACACTGCAGTCGTTAATTCCTTTCACAAGATTTGTCAAACCGACTAGGATGCCCTTTTGGCTTTTTATAATCATCCACCAAAATCTTTTTCCATCACTTCTTCAATTACATTTTCAAGATGTCTGTCTGTCACTCGTAAGAGCAGCTGGAGTTCATCCGGCACTACATGATCTAAAGCAATATCAAGTAGAGGTCTGTTAATAAATCAAGATTATTCGCAGACTTGATTGGAAAAGCTTTTTAATGACCTCCAAGGTCCCACCATTCGTCCTTATGGAGTAGGCACCATAAACAAGCAAAGTTTGAAGATGCAGCATTCCTGCCCATAACCATGAGCAAAAACTTCAAATCTCCACCCAGGAAAAGCTCCAGCTTCACATGTGATTGGTTCATTTACTTTATTAAATAAATTGGACAGGGATACTTTTTAATGTTTGGTAATCTTCTGGACCATTAACAATAGCAACAGTTCTGTTCTTTGATGACATCACTTTCTCATCCCACTGTAAAAGACTGAATGACATAATCATAAAATTCATCAACTGAGACATACTAGCACCATCTCCACTTAATTTCACTTGTATTGTACTGGTGCTCAGCTCTGGCTTATGCAGCAATAATTCCTGCACATGTTCTGTCAGTGTAGATGTAAAATCTAATTTGGCCCCAGGGTACTCACCAACAGTTCTTTCAACTATATAGGTCTTGTTCATGTCTGCCCTCAATTGTTTGACAAGATAGGACTTGGGGGTAAATTATCTGATTCATATGACAGTTCATGACAAACTTCATCGCCAACACAAAATTTGTCCAACAAGAACAAAACTTGGATGTTATTCATGCCATATTATCGCAGCTTCCGGTGTGAGATCTTCGATATTTATTAATTATAGGGTCTGTTATTTGTAAAAGAGCAGTTTTTGTAGCGTGATGCATCCGAAAAGTGTGGTCGCCGTTCTGTGTTGCAATTTAAATTAAATAATTTGCTAGATGATCAGAATAAGGTTTTCTAAAATTTTTGCAACTGCTGGTGTTGCAGAAATTGGTCAATGGAATTTCTCTGGCCGTTCCAGGAAGTTCTATTTCAGAGAAATGATCCTTGGTTTTGACAAGATAATTGCTAAGTGCACCATTGTGCATAAATAAGTGGCCATTAAATCTCCACACAGAAGAGAATCTCGTTAGCTAAGTCCGCTTTGCTGCCCGATATAAGTCAAAGGCGCTTCAGAACTTACTTTCAATTTATAACCTAACTTTCTTTTGCTGTATATTTCCTTTGAGCACTTCTGACATTTTGACTTTTCCCGCAAAACAGATTTGAATAAAACGCGAAATTTTAGCATGCGAAATGTTAGCACGCAAATTGTGTTTTCAATACGAAACCAAGCCTCGAAATCTCGCAAATCTCTCTGATTATCTTAGGTAACAGACTGGGAGCAAGACTTGCAAGTAAACAAGAAAGATGGTTGCTTGAACGTTTGTATATTTCAGATTTCAACTCATTATTGCCTTGGCTATATCAGATACAGAGATTCTAAGATTTATATGGCAGAAAGTCTCACAGAACTCTTTAAATCTTGTCCAAAAAAGAAACGAGACATGGAATATCGATATCTCTGGACTCGAACTGGTCGAATGTATTTACGAAAGGACAATGACAGCCCTGCTATTCTTGTTGATAATCTGCAGCTTTTGGAGAGACTACACAGATAAGTCACTATCTCTATGTGCATATCATCTTGATGTGTGTCTATTATACTTAACATTCATGGATTATTTTTCTATAATTGTTGTGTGTAAGATTGATATAAACTATGAGTGTGAATAATTTAAGACTCGATAATTTACCATGTTTTGATCTGGTGTCGGCTCTTACTAAAATACCATCTCTTAGATTAGCTGACATTGATCAACACTTACCTAGCCAAATTAACTTTAATTATTATTCTGGAGAAGAGTTCTTAAATAATCAAGATATTTTAGATTTATCAACCAAAAAATCTTGTGGAGTATTACATTGCAATATTAGAAGTCTTGCAGCTAATATTGATAAATTTTCTCTTCTATTGAATGATCTTAAATATCCTTTTTCTGTTATTGGACTTACTGAAACTAGAATCAAACATCAGATAGATAGTTTAGTGAATATAAATGTGTGTGGATATACATTTTTATCGCAACCCTCTATTGCAAATGCAGGAACTAGAATCAAACATCAGATAGATAGTTTAGTGAATATAAATGTGTGTGGATATACATTTTTATCGCAACCCTCTATTGCAAATGCAGGAGGAGTTGAGTTGGTTTATTTGTGAAAGAGGATTTGTGTTATGTTACTAGAAATGATTTAAGTGTCTCTAAAACTGAGTTTGAAGCACTGTGGGTTGATATTGAAAGCAAAGGTCAAAATATTATCTGTGGTGTTCTATATAGACTTCCGAAAGCAAATCTTTAAGTATTTACAAATTACCTTTACTCAATACTAGATAAAATTCAAAATGAAAACAAGTTATGTATCATTCTAGGAGATTTGAATATTAATTTATTAAATTATGAAACACATGTATCAACTGAAAATTTTGTTAACAGTATGAGTTCATATTTTTTCCACCCACAAATTATCCAACCTACTAGAATAACTGATCATACTGCAACTTTAATTGACAATATTTTTATGAATTCACTTGACTACCACACTATAAGTGGAAATATTCTATTTGACTTATCGGATCATTTGCCAATTTTTTTAAAGGGGAAGTCAAGTCCGTTCTGCGCATCATTTCTGCGCATTGTTTACATTTTTTGTTTTATTTTGATACACTATAACTGCCTCACACGAAGTCTTTACGATCTTCTCCTAGTCTCACCTGGATTTTATTTTAATATTGACTTTGTGTGTGGTCCATTTACAATACGTTTTGATTGGGAAGTAAAATGAAATGCCACCTGGCCAGGCTGGGCTTGCTAATCCGAAAAGGGCATATTGCGTTTGATTGCCAGAACTATGCTGCAATGGACGAAAGCATATTAAGCGCAGCAGACGAAATAGAGCACAGTGCAATTGAGGAAATCGCTGGCGTTCCCAATGCGGACAAAAACATGGCAGAGTGTTCATGTAGAGGAATGTGCCTGAGAGAAAAAGGCAGAAATGCTTGCC